CCCGAAAAGTAAGGCTCATAGATGCTGTGCGATGTGACCACAGCGCACATTCACGGGGCACTATCCACAGCCAGGCGCTATAAAAAGTAAGGCTCATAGATGCTGTGCAATGTGATCACAGCACACATTCACGGGGCACTATCCACAGCCAGGCGCTATTCCAGATGCTTCGCATAGTTAATCACAGCGAATCCTCACGATGTCCCTGTGAAGTTACTGCTAAAATTCTCCCTACTTTGTAACTACGGAATCTGAGGCCTAGAGATGTGACATGACTTAATTTGTCCGGAGCGCACGACCAGTAAGGAATGAAGCTGGGACCTGAGCCCAGCAGCATAATCCCACAAGTATCACTCTTAAACTGTATCACACACACACACACACACACACACACACACACAGAAATTTCTTGGGATGCTAACGTCAGATGCCTTCTCTTATGCAAAAATGGCACGCACACTCATTTCTTACCTTCCCAATCCTAGCCTGAAGCAAGAGTCTGACCTCCAGCCCGTCCCACCTGACCCCAACATTCCGCTTGCAAACCCCAGCAGCTGCATCCTGGTTGACTCTTCTGCTTTCCATTCCCTGCTGTGACTGCTCCAGGCCAAGAATCGCCGCAGGCAGGACGAACGGGCATTCTGCTCTTGGACTCCTGTGCCTTTGGTCTTGGCAGCCGTGGAACAGCGTGGAGGAGGAGCAGGTGAGCCCTGGATCAGGACTCAGGAGGCCCCAGCTCCACCTCCAGCCAACGAGGCGGCCTCGGGCACAGGTTTTTCACCTCTAAACCTCAGTGATTCCCAAAACACTAACAGGTTGTGTCTTAACGAGCTCTTTCCAGAAATGTAAGACCGGCCATTCTTCCTTCTGCAGCCACCACCTTTACCGGGGGACCTGCTGGTCTATCTTTGGGCAGGAATGAGACGTAAGGAAATTTATTCTAGGAAACTGGCCATTAACACACACACACTTGTTCATGGTATTCTTTGGGCATAAAAAAGGAAGACCCGAACACTAACAGTGAAGGTATCTTTGCCAAGTCTCGCGGGAGAGCTTTCTGATTTACGGGTTCAAATTCATGCCTCGGTTGAGAACAACTTCCTCCTCTCCTTTCAGGATATTTGCAGAGGAGAATTCTGGGACTACTCATGGTCATTCGTGAGCACAAACACAGCATGAGACTAAATGACCAACCTTTTATATCAATAAGGGTTTCCTGGGACCTCGCTTTGAGAAAGGTAAATATTTGCAGTTTCTCCATCCTGTGCATTACACAGAGTGGGAGGAAAGCACGGAAGAACAAAAGGAGCTTCTAGGAGGCAGGCAGGTGCCAGGGGCCTTGAGAAAGCCCAGCCGAAGCCAAGAGGCATGTGCAGTTAGGGAAGCCACACCTCGCAGAGCTGGGGGACAGCTGGTTCCACTTTGTCGCACCTCCCTGGCCTCTGGCGTTTGCTGATCCTTCCTGAGAAGGGCAGGATTCATGCAGTAAGTCTGATCCTCTTTCAGACCTTGCTGGGCCCACCCAACCCAAGAGAAAAAACAAATACGGTTAGTGGCTTGGCAGCCAGCAAGGTGGGTGGGGTGCTGATATTCTGTCATTCCTGAGTAGCTGGTTTCTTGCTTGACGAAGCCCTCTTCCCAAGGCAGGATCCCCCCAAATGACTTTTCTCAGCTTAATTTAGACCCGAAGTAGAGGCACTAACCAGGGCCAGCTCCATAAGACGTGGGGCTCAATGAGAAATGAAATGTGGGGTCCCTCAGCGAAATGCAGAGGGAAAAACTACAAGTTCCTAAAATATCCATTTTTCTTTTAAAATATTTTTTATTGATCAGTTGGACTATGGAGTAATAGTAATATATTAATAACATAAATTTACAAATCACAAAAAAATTGGGTCATAATTTTAAATAATATAAGGAAAAATGCTTTATTAAGGCGATAGCTTGACTGATCTTAAGATTTTTCTAACTTGCTTTTCTGAAAATTCATTTATTAGGTCCTCAAATTTACTCTTTTAGAAACATAATTTTCAATCAATATAATCGAAGGGATGGCAGTTAGCAAATGTTAAGATAACAAATAATTTTTCCATAATTTTTAATTTTAAGAGGGCTTTTCTAATGCCCTTCTCACCGGAGTTGCTAAGAGTATCTTACAGTTTATGGCAACACTGGGATAATTTTTTAATAAATTATTTGGAAATACTAATTTTAATACAGCTAGAGCTGATATTCTTGCAGAACAAATTTTCTCAAAAGATTTAAATCCTCAGACGAATCAATTTCCTGTAAGTCTGAATTTAATTTTAAATGCAAATTTATACAGCAGCATTTTGATGATTCCTCTGACACTTCTTATAACTTGTTGCAGTCTTAAAGAACACTGAAAGTGGCCTCATAATCTGTACATAATTCGAAGTGCCAGTGCCTGTTTGTACCTTCTATCCCTGTATCTTCAGTTACAAATAAAAATTAGTCATAAAATTATCTTCCTTGTTGATAGCTGCTTCATCCAAAGCTTCATAGGAAAATAGCATTTTTTTCTGATCCAATGTGGCAATCTTAAAATTTAACTTTTGTTTCTAACCCTGCGGATAGGTGCTTTGCAAATGTTAACAACAGTTTTCAAAAACGGAGATTCTGAACTCTTTCAAGAATTCTAATCACTCCCTGCTATGCTCTATTGCGGTGTCCACGTGTATGCTTTTATTTTATTGCTTCCCTGCCATGTATGTGGTCATTCAGAGTCCACTTCAAAGGCAAAGCACCAGCAGTTTCTGTTCTGACTCTCGGGCTAGAGAACTAGCGTGGATGAGATTCACTGCATTCGGATTTGTACAGATGATGCAGAAAGGCACAGACGACCTAGCTTCCCACCGCGGTCCCCGCCCTACCCCATACGGAGCCCTTTCTCCCAGGGCAACAGCTACTGTCACCACAGTAGCTGCTGCTTTTGCTGCCACCACCACCAGTCTGGGCCCAGGCCTTGCTCGGCCACCACCTGGGGACCTCGTGGTGCCTTGGATTGTCCCAAGTGAGGATGCATCAACAGCTCGGTGCATGCACTGCCCTCACGCCTGCAGCCCGAGCCCACATGTGATGTGCAGGCGCCCGGTGCATCGCCCCTGCACACGCACGTGCTCCACTGTCCGGTCAGACTTTACATACGAAACACAAGTTCAAGGATAAAATTAAGAATTTCAAGATAGCAACAGCAGCAGTCCATCAAACAAAGCACGGGCCCCTCTGAGAGAGGAGCCCTGTGCTTGTGCACAGCTTGGGTGTCATGAGGCCAGCCTGCACGCAACCTGGTTCCAGCGATCAGACACGCTCCCGCCAGGGCTGGGTTCAGAGTGAGCTGTTCAGAGAAGCAGGTGTGGCAGGGAAGCTTCTGGTTTGCCAGCAGGGTGGTCAATGGAGGCAGCAACTCCTATCAAGCCAGTGGGGCAGAATGGTCCCGCAAATTACTCCTGGAAATGTGCCCTGGGGGTCACCTGGGGTCCCACGAGCCACTTCCTCTCTCTCAGTAAACCTCTCACTGCTTAAACCAGGTAGAGTGAATCCTTATTCGCAACTAAGAACCCTGATAATATGGCAAGTATTATTTTCTCCATTTTACAGATGAAGAAACTCAGGTTTGAGGAGAACTTGCTCATGGCCACGGAAGTGGTGAACGGTCGGTCCGGCAAGGATGCAGACCCAACGCCGGGGCTCTCGGCTCTTCTTCGCGTGGCATCGGGAGCTCCCCAAAGCATCGCTGCAGTCCGCTCTAACTTCGTACTGGGCATCTGTTAAGTCCGTCCTCGAATAACAGCTCTTCCTTGGGGGAGATGCCTCTTCCGCACCAGGCGGTGGTGTCCATCGCATGCCGTGACTCCCCGTGGCCGCGAGGTCGGTGATCCAGGCTGGGTATCAGAGACTCCCATTTCCCAAGCACAGCGATGGGCCCAGTTGTGAACTTCTGCCGCAAGCACGGTCATTCAGAGCCCGCTTTGGAAGACTATCACGCATGCTGGGAGAGAGGGTCTTGCCTTCTAAGGTGGTGAGCATCACGTAAGCTAACAAGGACCACTTTTCTATCCGGCTAGAGAGAGCCTATTTGGGTGAGCAGCTCACATAGAAAAGCGCGGGGCTGAGAGACACTCTCGACGGTGTCGTTTGAGCCCCCAGATCCAGCCACCCCTGAAGCCTAAGAAGTGAACCAATAAACTCCTGTTTTTACCTACGCCACTTCAAGGTGGTTTTCTGCCTCTAAACATTGAAACAACAACAACGGCAACGAAAACTACAAAGAAACTTCATACACACAAGGGGCAGAAGACTCGAGTTATCCACGCTGGCCGCCGGCTGCTCTGCGGACATTTCCACCCTGACCGAGACGGCTCCTCACCGGGGTCTTCTCTCTCCCACTGCTTTCCATCTTCGTTTACAGTGGGGGTCACAGTGATCTCTCTACCCTCGCTCCCCGGACGTGCTTGGCTTTCAAAGGACATTATCGACCCTCGTCGGAGCCAGAGACTGGTCCGAAGAAAAAGCTGCCCTTTTCTTTCTCTCCACCCTCGCTCCCCGGACGTGCTTGACTTTCAAAGGACATTATCGACCCTCGTCAGAGCCAGAGACTGGTCCGAAGAAAAAGCTGCCCTTTAAATTCTAGGCTGTCTGTGCAATATCTGGTAGCACCAGGAACGCCGAGGGAGACGTGACTTATCACAGATAACGAGATTTGGTTAAGAGCAGTATCTGGACTTCCTTCCTCAGAACTGTAATGAAAATGCACCAGAATGAACTGTGGAGATGATGTCATTCAACTGTGGGTGGCTCTCACTGTCACGCAAGAGACGACTTCATAGGAACACGGACATGGCGTTAAGCGGCACTGAATCAGAAGCCAGCCAGTCTTTCCTGAATCTCCTCTACGTTCCAGACACCGAGGGTGGGTCTGTGAAGTCACTGGCCTGCATTCTTCAAACATGCCAAAGTCATGAGACACGAAGAAAAGCTGGAGAGCTGTTCCAGATTAAATAAAACTAAAGAAACGTAGCCACTGAGTGCAATACGCGATCTGAACCGAGTCCCGAACTGGGGAGAAAATGCTCTAAATGACATTATGGGGTCAACTGACCAAACTGAGTGATAGCCTGTAATTAGATAGCGGTATTGCATCCATGTTAAATTTCCTAACTCTGATCGTTATTCTGTGCTTATCAAAGAGAATCTCCTAATCTTTAGGAAAGATATTCTGGGGTATTAAGGGCATGGTGTATGCAACCTACCCAATGATTCAGAAAAAAAAGTTATAAGTATGTATATAGAAAGAGAGAAAACGACAAAGCAGAGGTGGCCAATGTTCAAAAATGCTAAATCTGGATAAAAGATCTACTAGAGTTCTTTTGTACTGTTCTTACACCCTTTCAGTAAGTTTGAAATTATTGCCAAGTAAAAAGTTTTTTTTACAAAAGAGTATGCCAGTCTTTCAACCCTCATGATTATGTCAAGAAGAAAGTATCGGTTTGGGGTTAATATATCTTTAACACTTTTCTAACACTTGCTAATCTCCCTGTTTAATAAAGAGAGAGCAAGCCTCAGGCACAGACTTTGGCAAGCAGCAGTTACTCGCTAGAATTTAATAACGTCGTTTTGTTTTCATTGTGCTTACTTTTGCATTGACTTTCTATTTATGGCAAGTGGGGTAGCTTTCCCTGCATGGTAAGATATAAAATCACCTTTTAAATACATTTGTATAATTAAGAAGGAGATAATGTAAAAAAAAAAATGTTAATAGAAAAGTATAAATAGGGTAAAGATGTGACATTTAATCACAAATTCCTGACATTTAGGAAACGCTGGTCGATTCTAATGGCCTCATTTGACAGAAAGCAAACTGGAACTCTGAACGCTGGGTGGCTTGCCACCCCCAGCGATGAGACAGGGCAGGAAGGCAGACGAGGGAGCCCTCACATCGCATTCCGCCGCAGCCCACTGCGGGGTGACTCCGGCCTCCGCAGTGGCGAGAGCCAGCCCGACAATAAGAAACACAGCTCAGAGTGGCATCGTCTACTCCTTACACACACACGCAGACCAGCTCTCCATTTTGCAAATCAGGCAATGCGTAGCAAAAGCAGCACTTTTGACATTGAAACAGTCTCGTTTCTTCTCATTCCTCAGTGGCCGATGGAACAGAACGTACTGTTCCTATATAGTTTATGGACAAACTCAAAATATTCTCTTTTAAAAGCACTGATGTGTTGATCCTAGAATCCCAGAAGCTTGAAAGAACAGCCAGCTCAATCTTGTCAATAGTTTCAGAACCACTGAGGGGAGCAGAGCTGGCCCTCGTATGTCAGGCACTGGCCCTGCATCCAGCCCTCACACGTAAAACACCTGGAGTTGACCGTTAAAAGATTTCCCGTTTTCTTTCATGCTCTTATTTGCATCGGCTGCTGTTTTCCATAATCTGTAGATGGATTTTATTTGGCCTTCAGTGAGCAGTCGCAGTTGCCACGGAGAGTACTAACGTGTGCTTCTGATCTAGTCCCTCCTCGCAGGCAGGGGTTCGACCTCACTAGTAACAGAATTTTCTCCACTTACAAGGTTCCGGAGGAGGGCAGGTGACAGCCCCCTCAGACCTGTTCGGGCTCTGCCACCCTGACCGGCAGGACAGCGTTCCTCCCATTACCTGAACCCACCTGAGCACGGATGTGTGCCTGCATCTCCTCGTTCCTCCTCCCTGGACCTCCAGTCTTTGTAAAAGAACCTCTCTGTGTTTGAAGATGATTGCCCAACCTCCCTGACCATCTCTCCACAAAGCGAGCTCACCCAGTGAACAAAATAGCATTTCCAACCCGTCATCGCCTTCCTGACCCCCCTCTGAGCTTTTTCCTGTCACTCTAAAGCCGACTCCAGAACAGAGTACGGCATTTTGAGGGTGCGTGGAGCCAGTGCAAAGAGGCCCTCTCCCTGGACCCAGTCTTTGTAAAAGAACCTCTCTGTGTTCGAAGATGATTGCCCAACCTCCCTGACCATCTCTCCACAAAGCGAGCTCACCCAGTGAACAAAATAGCATTTCCAACCCGTCATCGCCTTCCTGACCCCCCCCTCAGCTTTTTCCTGTCACTCTAAAGCCGACTCCAGAACAGAGTACGGCATTTTGAGGGTGCGTGGAGCCAGTGCAAAGAGGCCCAA